TATATATATATATAAAAACATTGAACTAACTAATGTGTAAACTTACCAGTCAGAGCAGTATCTGCCGACACACTGGGCTGAGTGGCAGAGCCATTGGCCAGTGACACCACATCAGCTATGACAGGATTCATCTTTGAGGAATGATGGGGCTGGGTTGGAGCTGGAGGGAGAGAGAAACATACCAAAGTTAGAACAGTTTTGGTCATTGAATGAATGAGATTTCTGCTTTTTTCCCCTTTGTATTCTTCTTTTTGGATGCACTTCAAAACCTGATCGGCAGGGGGCCGGTTTGTGCTGTTTGAGCATGGTTTTCACTACATTTGAATTCGACACACAAAGCAGTACCTGACCTGAAACTGCAGCGCGTAAAAAAACATGATGTGTAAATCTGATTAAACCACACCCACACAGTCCTGAGAAAGGAGATCAGCTGGAAGTGTTTTAATAAATAATTCCTACCTTTTTTGTTGCTTAGTTATTCCTGAATATTCAATGTTTTTTTCAGAAATAATTCAGACTTGAAGCTATGTTTTCAGGGGCTTTAAATTTTCAGCCAAAGCAATCTCCAAACAGTCAAACCCAAAAACCTTGCAGCACGCTGCCCTGGGAACTAGCCACATTTACTTTCCTATTAGCTGTAACTTAGGAATAATACCATTTTATGTGTGCTATTTTAACTAGCATGAGCATGGAGACAGCTCAAGTACTCAACATCATACTGTGTAAGAGTGAGGTGATAACACAGTTTACCATATGGTGTTTGTGGGGCCGTTCCAGTACCGTTACTGCTGGTGTGTTGGCTCGTCTCAAAATGCAGGTAGCAGTACTGCAGCAGGCAGGGCAGGTTGCAGAAATTACGGACTGAACCCAAACACTGCAGTTTTTCGGTCATGTAGCCCTGTTTCCGACAACTGTCGCATCTCCCCATCTGTCAGGGGAAGAAGAGAAGGAGCGAAGAAAAGCCAAGAGAGGAAAGAAGAAAAATAAAAATTAAAAACATAACCACACTGAAGATACAGTAAGTTTTAATGACATACAATGTACAGTGTAGTAGGACATCTATCTCCTTACCCCATAGTAGAGTACAGTGTACTGGGACATGCAGTGGGGTTTACAGAACTCCTCCATCCTGCCTCCATAGTGGCTGTGCAGCATCTTCTGGCTGATGCCGGAGCAGTAGGTGCAGGGGCGCCAGGGATGATCCTTGTTACGAGATGTCAGGTCATGTTTGAAGAGTAGCTTACAACCTGGAACACATGATGGGTGGCTTATTATATTACTTAAATACTACAAATATACGTTTCAACCGACAAGTCCAAAGACACTAATTAAATCTGGCATTTAGACCTACATTGATTATTCATTTTTAAAAGTATGGAAGGCCAGAGCTGCAGTTCGCCATAGTTTTAGGCCACTTTTGACAAGACTGCGACTGAACAAAGTTGACAATCATGATCATTTCAGGCATTTCTTATAGCTAAGTGGACCAGAATTGTAGCTTTTATGTTGCCTATTAGAGGAGAGGATAAAAGGGGAAAAGCCATTGCTGTGTTAACTCACTTTCACTGCAGAAGACCAGGTCCTGTTGATTGTAGCTGATGGTGTCAAAGAGCACTTTCTCCTGTTTACAACCCTCACACATCACCAGGATATTCTTTTGGGTTTTATACTGCTCACAGCACGTCCTACTGCAGAACATAGAAATACGACCCTGCAGGCAAAAATTATTATTAGTATTATAATCATCACTGTGAGTACTACAATCGTCATGCAGGTAGTTATGGTTAAGTATCTGTATATGCTGATCATCTATAAGAGCATGTGAGCTGTAGCCCTTACTTGGTGACTAAATAGCAGCGGCTTGATATTGAATAGTTTGAAGCACTGATGGCAGGTCAGCTTGGAGGGGTCATTGGGCCCGCCGTCTGCTGGTTTCAGGGTCTGACCAGCAGGTGCTCTGGCCTGGGTTTGCCCTGGGACAGAAGGGGAGGACATGGCTGGATAGGGAGGCACCAACGGGGGCACTGAGGTATGACTGTGATGGTGGCCCGGATAGGGGACTGAAGACGTGTAGTCCTGAGGGATGGGAGGGACGGAGCTGGCTCCTGCAGAGGGCCCCGGTTTGGGGGCATCTCTGAGGGAGGGGTCCCTGAGAGCGGAGGTTCCATTGATCAGGTCTGGTTGAGAGGTGTGCCCAGACTTCTGTAAAGACACAGAGGAAAAATAATCAGTGTCAAAGCTACAAGAAGACACGATTTAGACCGGCAGATGCCCATCATGAACTCTTGTTAGATACAAATTTCTTATGCTGCCGGTGCCTTTACCCTGTATATAGAAACACAGTCGTAGGAGCAGAAGTTACGAATGGTGCCGTCCACCATGGCCAGATGATACTGAGGAACAGCTAACACCTTGCACAGGCAGCAGGGGAATTCGGTACCTAAGGGAAAAGGGTAACATTAATAACCCACTGCTAGCATGGGAGCATGCATTCATGTGTATTAATCAATAATGAAACATTCCCTGTCGTTGAATGTTATATAGGATTGCAGTGATATTAATTAAGATGCTACCTGTATTAATTTTTAATACATTTAAGTTTAATATATCCATGACACATTCACTTAGAGCATTATTATATTAATCATAAACCAGTAAGAACATAATTGTGGTCAATGAGAAGATCTCCCAGTTCTGCATTTAACACCGCATATACCAGCTCACCCTGGTGTGACTGTGTGTCAGTTGTGTGTCCTACCAGTGAGAATGTGACGGGGGGGTCGACTCTGTTCCACACAAGCAGATGAACAGTAAAGCTGAACTTTGCCCTTTTGGTCTCGTTCCATGATGGTGGATGACACTATTGCCATCTTGTGACAGTAGGCACACTCAATCATCTTTCTGCAGGTCTATACAAAAACACAATTTGTATTGTAAAGTCATCCTTATTTTAAAAAGACATTATAAAAAAAGATTTTTGAACACAAACGCATACCTGTTTGAAGGTGCCAATACAGGTAGGACCACAGAAGTTGAGCTGAGATCTGTCAATTGTGAGTGTCTGACAGGAGCCTGAATTACTATTACAGTAAAGTCCACAGCCTTCACAGCAGTTCATGGCTAACTGCCGTATCTTGCGCCATGTTACAAAACAAGCGTCACTACAGAGTCTGTGCAGACGACCTTGATGGGTGACCTCGTGCTCAATCACCTGTAGAGATGATCACAGTAAAACACAAGAACAAGAGAATTATACCGAAGAGTTGGCTTTGCAACATATTGACTAAAATCTGTCTTTACTGGAAAAGCTAGCTTTCTGTGTGTCTTACTCTATTAGAGACTTTGCAGACACTGCAAAAGGGTTTTTCAGGCTGTCGCTCCGCTGGTTTCTCAGGCAGCTTCTCAGGCTTCCTCTCCAGTCGTTTGTCAGGAATCTTGTCAGAATGTTTTTTCTTGTGTCTAAAGACCGACAGACAGAACTGTCCACAAAAGTGCATGAAGGTGCTGTCGTCTGCTGGAATTGTGATCATGTCCCTGGGCTGAAGAATCTCCCTGCAAAGAGAATAGCACAAGGGATAAATAGAACAGTCGAAAAATACAGGATACTGGTGTTGGAACAAACAAAGTGGCAAAGAGGAAGAGTAGTTAAATATTTCATTCATTGACAGACGTTATTTATATACGAAAAGCAACAAATAAACATTCTGACCATGAGTATTTCCATGTGTTACACAAATACACCTTATATAAGCCAACTGTCATCACATGGCAGCTTAATAAAACCATGACACAAATGAAACCCTGACATGAATAAGTACATACAAGTGGAAACTAAGACGTACCTGTTGCACTGGAAACAGGATCGGTTCTTGTTAGCTGGGGGCAGATGACCAGTCAGACAAACTGTGGAACAGAAGAGCTGCGTCGAACCTTTTCTTTGGAATGCTGTTTGGCCTTTCAGCAGAACCTACAACCAATTACAGAAACATGAAACATGAGAATGACAAGAAATGAAAAGCTACAGCACTGCACAAAGACCTGACACATTAAACATGATCTTTTCTGCTAATAATGTCATTAATAAAGCTGATCAATGGATTCATTAGCAAGTATTTCTCTGTAAACATTCTGTTAGTAGCAATGCATAAAACTAGAGTAGTGTTAATTAAAAAACACAGAAATATTTAAACTTTATACATGACTATAATTATTAATATAATTTAAAACCTGTAAAGCCTGAACCATGAAATAATTGCCAGAAAATTCTATCTTTGTTTTAAACTGGAGTGTTTATTGAACCTGCTGCCAAATTAAAAAAATCAATATCAATTTGCATATATGAATTCTAATTTGTATCATATTTGATACATCAGGTCTTTTTGTGACAAACAAAAATATATAAAACATTTAACCTATTAAAACTTTGAGTTTCCTTCCTCAAACATACAAAATAATTTTTTATATATAATATATATATATATAAAAATAATAACATTACTATATAATACAACATCTGCTGAAATTAAGTTTTCACACAGCAATGACAAATCCACCAGTGGAACCAGCATATCATTTTTGCTACATCTGGTATTTTTGTGCAATTAGTTGCTCAGTTTGTTTTTTCCCCATTGTTTTTATTGCAGTTTTTGTTTTCATTCAACAAACAATGTTTACAATACTAGACACAGAACAAAGAAGAGACCGAAATATAATATCACACTATGTTTACTTAAGTAAAACAAAATATATTTCAACCCAATATCTTTGAGTTTATGACAGTCCACAGATAAGAAAAGAGTTAAAGTTCCACATCCAAATTATTATTTAACACTTCGAGGCACAGAGGCGACAAAGAGAAAGACGATATGATAAAGAGATCCCTGCGATGGTGGGAAATAATGTCAATCCTGTGATAACACCTCATTAAATTGTATTGCTCACCTTCGTCCGAGTGCCAAACCTCCGAAATCCTCTTCTCTCTGCTAAGACGCCCCACAATTACGCTATCCACCTCTGTCTTTCCATTACACTATCAGTGACAGACCAGTCCTTCTCCCACCACACCCCCTCTCGACCGGCCCGCATCCCACAGTCAGGTCCAAAGCCAAAAAACTAACCATATAAAGATAACTAACCGCCACGGTAAAATCCGAGCTTCAGAGCACACTTTCACTGTCCGACTGACGCAATACCAGCACTCTTTCCCCAACACAGTAGGTCAATTTCAGGGCCTGGCATAAGGTTATAGCTAACTGAAAACACTATAATCAGACCTTATTATGCATAAAAACTAAAGTAATCTTTGTTGGACATACTTGAGTTGTGTAGTAAGAACAAAAGGGTCTGTTCAACATGACATAAGCTGCTGGAGAGTGGCACTCGCCCAGGGGCCGTGGCAGAATACCGTCACTGCTCAGGGATTATAAAATGATTATCTTCTATAGTTACCCATCTGTCGGAACCCAGGGCCTCTGAAGAACCTGGGGGAAGCAGGTTATTTTTATTGGGGTGTGACGTAAATATTTGATCTTCCCTCGACGGCGGCAACCGCCTGCTTTTGAGTGTTGATTGTTACAGGTTACACGCTTTGTTTTTTAAATCATTTAAAATAAAAGTACTTTGTCTGCACTGTGATAATGCTGTCTCAAATCATAAGTTGATTATCCCATTACCCAGTGTTTCATCTTTGAGCACAAAGTTGTATTTTAAATATTGGTGTTGCCACTTGGTGTTACGCTCTTAGCCTGGGTCTACGCTTGCTCCAATGGTGGCCTCTTTTTCCTTCAAACCCTTTTAAAAACAACAGGAATCATTTGGAGTTTGTTTATCTTAAAACAAACATTTAAAAACACTTTTTTAATTCATTAAACTTTG